TATGAACTGTATACTGTAATACGATTTCAACATTAAGTTTTCAGAGGTCATTTGAACGCGTTTTGAAATTTCAAATGTGAGGCAGTGTCGATGACAAGTAGGAAAAGGCATTCAGCAAAATATCATCGCATGTTTCAAGCGGCATTACAAGAGGCGTCAAATGGATTATGTTTGTGATCTCGTGGAGAAAATTACCGATAGATGTTTCTCCGCTGGGAAAAACTTGTGCACTGTTGACGTTCTTACTGCCATGCAGTGGTCGCTGCAAGCGTGGGAGTGCGTGACATCAACGACAATTCGATACTGCTGGAGTCACACGGGTATTGTTACTCGTGAAGCACTATTCGATCAGCTTCATTCGGTGCGGATCACCTCAGGCCATTCGATTGCAAGTTTGCTCAACTGAGCCCAACATCACCTTTACAATGTAATGTTTGTGCTTTATTGTGTTTCCGAATGTCTGTTAGAATTTATATTTTGAAGGTGGAGCTAAATGGATTCGTAGTTACTCCGGAGTACAAAGTTATTTCACGACATTTGAAATTTGCACAAAAACAGGATTTCTATAGGAAAGTTATATTGCCATTGAATTTTCATGATGTCCCATGATACAATTGTCCCACCCACACGGGCGAAGCAAAACGTGCCGTGGACAAGCCAAATTTTGCAAATGAGGTCATTGTGGCTCTGTGCCTCATGGATACCTAGCTATTTAAATGATAGATTGGGCATGAATGGACTCGTGCAGCCGTTGGCATGTCCGTGGCGGTGTTGCCGGGTGTTCACGAAAACGCATAGAAATATTCTTCGTATATTAATATTTCATTTTTGAAATTTCGGATTTTTCATACATATGTGTACTTGGAAGGTCGCGATGCCGGTTACCACGGTCGTATCCGGTGTTGTCGACACCAGCGAACAAATTGCGAAGCGGCACAAGCCGAAGTGGGTCGTCATGCCGCGCATTACGCTGGAGCTGCTTCGGAAGCGATCGGAGCACAATGAAGGGATTGTGTCCACCCTGGAAGAGATATCTTTGCACCAAGAAGAGATTGAGAAGATCGAAGTGATTGGGACGCTGTGCCGCAAACTGCGCATCTTGTACTTGCAAAACAATATCATCGAAAAGATCGAAGACTTGACGCACATGAAGGACCTGCGGTACTTGAACCTGGCGCTGAACAACATCAAGAAGATCGAAGGCCTCGGGTAATGCGTGTGCGCCGCCGCACGCTTCGAGTGATGTGGCTTTGTCGTGGCGTAGGTCGTGCGAATTCCTTGAAAAACTCGACCTGACCGTCAACTTTATCGACGTCGACGAGCTCGAAGAGTCGATCGTACGTTGGTGCAAACAAGTGCCTCGCTGACGGTGTGCGACGAGTAGAACCACTTGAAGCCCCGGGTGCATCTCAAGGAGCTCTTCATGCTCGGGAATCCAGCGCAGGCGGACTGGGACAACTTTAGTCATTACGTGATTGCGTCGCTGCCGCAGCTTCAGCAACTGGATGGGAAAGACATCACAAAGAGCGATCGGATCAAAGCGCTGCAAAAGCTTCCCGTTTTCAACGTTTGTTGCTCCCGTCGATGCCGATCGACGCCGTCACGTTTCGTTCTAGCGAGAGCTAGCTGCCCTCATCGCGGCCAAGCGCCACCGAGACGCCGTCGACGTCATTCCTGTCGTCTCTGGTAAAGCCACGGACATCTCCCACGACGATGGCGCGACGCGCGACACGAACCAGGACGAAAAACTCCCGTACACACCACAAACCCGACGCCGTACGTGGATCGATGCAAGGACCGCACGTGACCACGTTGCAGACATGTACATGGAGTTGGCCGAGCAAAAAGAGGAAGAAGAAGCGCGGAAGAGATCCAACTTGCCAAGAGATCGAGACTACGAACGGGAGCACCACGACGCGTTGGCAACGGCGAGGTACGTCCGATGGCCCATGGCGTCGCCACCACACGGTCGTGTAGACATGTCGAAGCGGAAGGTGCGATTCGTCAATGCAACGAAGGCAAGGTACGGCAGCTATGGCGAGCAACCGACGTGCGTCGCCCGTTGATTCGCGCGTAGTGGGAATTTCGCATGGACGACGAAACCAAGCCGGGGTTTGTTTTGGTCGAAGTCGGTGTCCCCAAGTTTCTCGACTCGTCGCTCATTCACGTCGACATGCACCCAACGTACGTGACGATCGTCATCAAGAACAAGGTGCTTCGTCTGCGGTTTCCAGAAGAGGTCGGGTCTTCACGACGCGGTTTGGTTTTCACTTTATCGAGTGCAGGTCAAGTGCGACCAAGGCACCGCGCTGCGGTCGAAAACGACGGGGGCTCTCCAGCTCACGGTGGAAAAGGTCGACCCGTCCAGCGTCCAACGTGCTCAGCGCGCACGTGCCCGCCGCCAAGACGACGCTGACGTCAAGACCAACCAGGCGACGCACGACGCGCGACCACGCACCATTCAAGACCAGGTCGCCGTCGATTCAACGTGTCTTTCCAATGCTCAACGTTGTGGTGTAGCTGCTCAAATCCGCCGCGGTGTCGGTACGAGGGCTTGTGGCGCGGCCCACCGATGCCGCTGACCTCGCAGACAAGCGCATCAACGTCGTCTCGACCAAAGCGCTGCGGCGGGATGGTCCGATCAACAACGACGATGATGACGACGACAACGAACCGCCCATGCTGTTTTGAGACAAAGGTGTCGGATCGCCGAATCACACGCTGTCCCTTGGTAGGTTTGCGTCCCACTAAAAATACCATTCGAAACAGGCATGCTGGGACAGGGGGTGTTGACAAAGGGGGGGCGGCGCGCGCGCGCAACTCGAGAGTAGAGTCGGTCCACAACATCGCGAAATCTCGACTTGGGCAGTATGTGCGGTCTCCACTCACGCCGCCCACTCGATGTGGCTCGTTGCTTCATGGCCGCTTCTTCTCGACGCATGATAGAGTGTGGGTTGGGTATGACCTGAATGGCGTCGTTCGAGATGACGATGTTGGAACGAATTGAGTCGGCATGCCGTGCACGGCGGGGAAAGAAACGGTGGTCCTCGGGCGGTCAATTAGGCCCGCATGTCGTCTCCACGTTGGAGTCCAGCAAACTTTGTCGTTTGTTGCCGACCCCACTCGTTTGAGTTGGTTCCGTCCGACGTCCCGGTCGGCTCTTCTTCCTCCTTCGGGCCACTCCACCGTGCTCCACATGCCGCGGGGCCACGTCCCCATGGACAACAGACGTAGGGGGTCCGTGTCGTCGGCCCGATTCTTCGGCGCCCCTTCATGGCCGTGACGAGAGTGCCGACATGAGTCGAGCAATCGCCGAACCTGTCTTCTAGCGTTAGTAGCGTAGCCACTCGAATCATTGAAACAATGCGAACGTGGCATCATGCGCTGCCCTTGGAAACGATTGTACGGGTCCATGCGACGCCACTCGACGCGGGCGAACGACTTGATTCCTGGAAGGCGTCACATTTCACACAACGATGGGCCACTCGTACTTGAGATTCGACTTTTCGCGTCATGTCGGCGTCGGACGGGCAGATGTGGATGTCGATGCGCTTGATTTGCGCATTCACGTGCACCCTGGATGCGTACTTGGCAGTCCCTGAGTCCGCCGAAGCTGCTCCACACGCACCTGTGCCAACTATGCTTTGAACTCTTCCCAGGCGAGAGGTGACTGTGCCTTGGCATCCCCAGCCGCCGCAAAACACGGTGTCCAACATGGCAATTCCACGGCCGACGCCACCGTCGTCGTCGCTGGTAATCGCCAATCGCTTCATGATCATCTTGAGTCGAACTGTGCTCGAGTCCTCAACGGCTCCAACCCAACTGCCATCAAAGGCCACCGCAATGGCGGCAGCTGCCCTCAGCACGTCGTCGTCAAGCACAAAACACCGTGCAGCAGCACCCCCTTCGCCACCAATACAGCAGAACAATGCATCATATTCGGCGCTGTCACTGACAAAACTGACCACTGCTGCGCCGTCCCCGCCGCCTGCAAACATCCATCAAAGCACCACCTCCAACGACCACCAGCGCCACCATCACGCTGTCTCCAGCTCAGCTCAGCACAGTACCGTCCTCGTCGCCGCCTCCTTCAACGGCAAAACCAAGTTGCACAGTCTACGCCGCCGCCGCCTACCGCGTCCGAGACGGCACCCCCAACGACTACCAGCAACACCAACCAACACCAACCCGATGGAGTCGCAATGAAGACCGCCACGGTTTTGCCGTCGCCTCCGTCTACTACTGTCGCCACCACCAGTTGGCCGTCCAAGTCGCCGTGGTTGCATCTTCGAATAACGTTTCCGCCGTTCCAATTCCAACCTACAGAGGTGCGCCAGTTAACTACGATCCCGCGATAAGCCCGACGCCCACCCTTCCACCACGTGAGGGAGGGTCACGTTGTTCGACGAAGTTGGGGGAAACTTGAGCATGCTGGACACGAGCTCCACATCAACTTCCTGACCGTTGTTCCTCGCTATTCCGCTGAGATTGGCACAAGAGTTCCCTCTTGTGACAGGAGGGCGGTTGATGGAAATTTGGTGGAGTCAGTGTCCGCCCCGGCCAACGCGACGTTATCACCACAATCTTTAAGTCCAGCCTCAATATTGCCGTCGGATGGCGATCTTCTTGTCTCAACGTTTCCACGAGGAATGATGTCAAGTACAACGACCCAACTTGCAACAACGTCGTTGCCGCCGTCTACCACCGCGGGAAGTCGTCATGGGGAAAGGACAGCCGTGGTTGGCAATGTTCCTGCCAAAACCGTGGCGAACGCTGGCAACTTGACCATGGCCAAGTCCATGGTTGGCCTGCTCGCCTGCCTCCTTGTCGTCACGGGGGTTGTAGCGGCCAAGTACTTCGTCGAATCCAAGTGCCTTCGACGCTCGCATATGCTATATTCCGGCGAGGCAGACGAATTCGCGTCTATGGCAAGGATGCATCCTCTGTCGTCAACGCTTGAAGATTTCGCAAGCATCGAGTTGGTCTTTTCGGCGCCGTTGCATTCGCAAGCATACATTTTCTAGGTTGGTACAGCCTTACAGCCGTCAAAGAACGAGAGACCTTCATCCATACGAGTGCAACTTGCGTTGGTGAGACTACGGCTCTGTCACGTCAATGTAAGCAACGCGGAGAGGGTGCTTGAGGCGGCAACAGGAAGTAGTGTCTGCAAGTCCTGCCCGCATGAACGCTATCGAGTTGTACCAGACGCGGGAAGCGCATCTTGACCATGTTCTCGCTGACGGTTACACGACCAACATTCTGATCATCCGGAAAACAAGCCAGGGGGCTTATTTCCAATTCCAGTGCCGCGGCATCCGTCGTCGCGAAGAAGACGTGGGAGCCCGGTCGTTCGTGGAAGGCAAGCACCATAACGGACCTCGCTATTTCGTGGTGGTGGCAGTCGCTGACGACACGGATGAGTCAATTCGCACACGGAATTCGTTCGTTTGATGCTTCGTCGATGTCAGCCACAACGGCGGCGGCGGCTAGCGAGGAAAATTCCGTCGACAACACAACTCACGTCCTCGGAGTTGCCCATCGCTCCGCTTCGTCGCTCGTGGCGCATCTTCAGTCGATCGTGTGGCTGACGTATCGAAAAGATTTTGCGCAAATGATTCCATACAATTTCACCAGCGATGCTGGATGGGGCTGCATGCTTCGGTCAGCACAAATGTTGCTGTGTGAAGCCCTTCTGCGAAATCTCGCGATTCATGCCGATCGCCGCTTCCAGTGGGACGATATATCGGCCGAGCTCTCTCCCTCAGTTGTGCAGATTTTGCGGTCCTTCGTCGATTCCCCATCCTCCAAGTGCACATTTGGTCTCCATCGAATGGTCCAGGTCGGCATGCAGTACGATATGTTGCCAGGGGAATGGTACGGACCGACGACAGCCGCTCAAGTATTGCGTGATTTAGTCAACGAAGAAACGGACATTGGCAACCTTAACTTGCGCATGTACGTTCCACAAGACGGCGTCATCTACACAGATGAAGTCAACAAGTTGTGTATCACGTCATTCGTGAAGCCCGCTGCTGCTGCTGCGACGTGTTTGAACTCGAACTCGTCGTCGTCATTCTACGATCCTCTGTTCAACCTTCCTCAAGTGGACGTCGCCGCGGGCTGGACTCATTCATTGCTCATCTTGGTTCCTCTGCGTCTCGGGCTCGAAAAGATCAACACCACGTATATCCCAGGTAAATCTGGTGCTGTTTTATGTGTTCTCACGCGTGTCGGCAGCGTTGACCGCGTTCTTTTCGTTCCCCCAGTCCGTCGGCATCATTGGCGGCAAACGCGGGCATTCCGTGTATTTTGTCGGTGCGCGCGGTACGCGGCAATTTTCGAAATGACGTTTTCGCGCGCTTTTTTGTGATGTCGTGCGGGTTTTCATTCGTGTAGGACACCAATTTCATATACTTGACCCCCACACAGTTCATCCGACACCCGATGCCGACGACGCTGCATTCCCGACGGCGGTATGATTTTTGATGGTTGTTCAGTCACCCTGACACTGTGCATGCCCATGCCAGACGCACGCGCGTACGATTCACTCGACAGACCATCTCGTCATGGAGGTGGATTACATTGATCCATCTCTGGCCCTTGGATTTCTGTGCAAGTCTCGCTCCGAGTACGATGACTTGACCGCGAGGGTGGCCGCGCTGTCTGCCACACACACGTGCCCAATTTCCATTGCAGGGGCACGACCAGATTATGCACAAGACACGTCGGAATTGCACTCGGTCTCGGGCGATTCGGCGACAGACGGCGGGGACGTTGACGACGAGGACGATTACGTTTTGATTTAGGACAGGTTTCACTGGTATATGCGGATTGAATCATGTACACGATCGATGAGCGCCCACATGAGGCGGGATTCCTGCTGCGCCTTGGCCACCGACATGACCCATTTGGAAGCAACTTGCCAGTAGTATGCGTATATGGATGCACGTAGATGCTGCAACGAATCTGGAAGGAGGGCGTATCGGTACATGTACCGCGTCCACATCGTTTCTGCGTTGGCCCTTACGACAGGGGGAAAGACATATCTACGTGTGCATGCGCCGTTCATCGCTTCGCAGAAAAGTCCAGCCATCGCTTCGCACATCTTGAGCCACATCACCTGGACGGCAGCGCGCCGCCGCCGTTTGGTGGAGTCGCGCGCCGGCTTCTCCTCGCCTGATTTTTGCTGCATTTGATTGGTTAATTTTTCGAATCCCGACGTTCTGATTGGTTGATGCATTCTCTGCGATCCGGTGGTACATTGTTCAAAATTGAGCATCGTACGGAAGCAGACGATGGTGGACACCTCGGCGACAGCGGCCAGCATGGCAACAACGCGAAGCAGCGCCAAACGACCTCGCGCGGAAGATGTTCGTGACGCAGCTATATCTTCTCGTCCACCACCCCCGCTGCGTGTAAGCCCTCGACCGGCCTCTGCCGCCTCCGGTGTTGCAGCTGCCTCAAAGCCCGACAAAATTCCAGACGACCTTGACCCGAGTCTCATGACAGAACGCCAGCAAATTGCCTTCCTTTTGCGCCAGTCTGCTCAAGCCACGACTGCTTCTTCTGATGATAGCGATGAAGACCGCAAGCCAGCGCGAACGTCTTCTAGACCGACCAAATCGTCCACGGCAGTTCCAACCTCCGTTGCAAATAAGGAAAACGACCCATCTCGTCGAAGAAAACCTGCACCAAAGAGAGCTTGTCCGACTGCTCGTTCCAGCATGGGTACGACCACCTCGGTGCCGATGGACACGACTCGGTGCTGCTTGTGCACGTCTTGGACAGATTCGTTGTTCCTTTGCGGGCATTGCGACAAGAAGTATCCGACCCAAAAAGCGCTTGGTCATGCCGTGTGACCCCTCAGGAGCAGTGCACCCACGACATTCATCAACGAACACGGCGTCATCACATGCATGTCGCATCAACTCTTGCACTACTTCGACCACACACACCGCAGGTTTATGTTTCGCGTATCGGTACGCCTTCGAACCTAATGCCCGCGCTATAAACCCATGTGACCTGTCCATGTTCTTGCGTCTTTCGCCCATGGCTTTACGATCGTCGGCCCAGATTTCACGCACCTGCTTCTTCCGGGCGGCGCAACCCAAGACAAACATTCTTCCCAAGAGAATACAGGAAATCGTCCAAAACAAATGCATCTCGGCACAGATTGGTTTTCAATACACCAACGGTCGTGGAGACTACTGCAATCGCAGTGACTGCGGCAAAGACAGTATTCCATTGCACAGCACCATGTTATGATTGTGCACTTGACGAGGAGGCGCTTCGTCCGCGATCGCGAGCACTGGATCGCAATCATCCCATCAATCGACGGGACTTCCTTGAGACCACACCAGTGAGCAGTGCAGAGTTAGTGGCGTCGATCGTTGACCGTCGAGACAACACTACCGCTCCGTAGAGCTCTGGGTCCGATCGTCGCCGGGCCTACGGAACGATTCCTTCATGTGTTTGAAAAAGCTGATAGAAACTTATTTGGGAAACGACCCAGATTGACATCGAAGGTCCTTAAATAATTTTCAGTGATAAATGAGGTGAAAATGATCAGCAACAAACACGCACGAATCGAAGCAGCCATATTTTCGAAGCAGCCATAAATTTTTGTATCTATTGATAATTACGTGGATATCGAGACAGCTTGGCCGAGCGGTTAAGGCGATAGACTAGAAATCTATTGGGGTCACCCGCGTGAGTTCAAATCTCACAGCTGTCGAAACTTTTGCTCGACAATCTTCACCGTCGAAAGCAGTCGCCGCAATTGCAGCAGTAGTTCTTGTATGTTTGTCTTCCCCACTGGTTTTGTTTATCACACGATAGTGTAGGTGTAGATTAGTAGTCTGTATTGCTCCATACATCGAAGTTCGTGTCACAATTGTTGGCCCAGTCTGGCTGTGATGTGGTCCAGTTCGACTTGATTGCCTTGAACGTTGGAAGGGATTTGTCGTTGAATAGCGTCGAGTGTACGTGGTGACCGTAGCGACTGGCGACATGAACGACACATGCTTCGAGCTGATCTGGTGAGTGCACGTGTTGGATGACCCCCCAGAGATCGGGAAACTGGTTTTGGCACTTCGTTCGCATCATGGCCAAGACGTGATCCCGCGGTGTGTCGACATGCAACGGCGGGAATTCGCGGACAAGTGCCAAATATTGCAACGCCGTCTCGTATATCGAGGCGGACGAAGCCGACATTGCCGCTGGGTTTTGAAGCAGCGACGACGCGACCATGACGCCAGCGCATCCTGTGTACTGGAGACACTCCATTGCATGGTCCCTTGACTCGATTCCTCCGTTAGCTAGCACTGGAATGGACACAGATTGCCGAATGTGACGGATCGCATCCCAATTGCACGACCCTTCGTGATGCCGTTGACTGCGCAGGCGACCGTGAACAGTGAGCATCGAGCAACCTGCCGCTTCTAGTCTTCAAAACAGTACGGAGATAAGAGTTGCACAGGGTTGGAGTGACGTCGTTTTCGAGCTGTCACCAACAACTCTCGACAGTGATTCCTACCTCTTGGCCAATGCAACGGATGCTCCTATATCTTCTTGGATGCGAATTTTGCATGAAATGGGAACACAAGCCACTCGGACCATGGCTCGCACAATCTCTTCGATGCGATCAGGAGTGTCCAAGAGGTACGCGCCAAAGTGGCCTGTGCGTGCACAGCGCTGAGGACATCCAAGGTTCAGATCGATGCCTTCGCAGCGGTGCTGGAGAAGGGTCACAGCTTTGGCGAGAAGCACGGGATCGTTTCCCGCCAATTGTACAATGAGCGGTCGATCTTCGGTTGCGGTGGCGAAAAATTGATGCGATATGTCGCCTGTCGAATGACCAGGCGCGGCGTCTGAAGCCGCCACGATATCCGACGCCACAAGCATAGGGGTGAACGCCAACTGACATCCCAATCGACGTGTGAGAAGACGGAAGGCGAGCTCCGACTGGCGCACCATTGGGGCGCACACCAACTGCGGCGAGCCCAGCACATTCCTGTACCACGCGCACGCGTCCGCCGCCGCCATGAAGTGCTTTTTCCAATCATCCGGATAACTGTATCACCACCTGATTGGTGGTTGAAGTTCGCGATGTCCGGTTAAAATATTTTATCCGGCTCACGGTGTGTTTCCGTGCCATTCTTCGCCAAGCATCACGCACCATGTCGCCGCACAAGTCCCTGGAACTGTTCAAGTTCACGCTCTACGTGACAGGTACGGGGCATATGCACACCATCATGATGGATGTAATATAACTCTTATCCTGCAGTGCCCATCCTGACCACGTACGTGTACATGCAGCCTGAAATCGTGAAGGAAATCGTCACGCGGGTAAGCTGGTGGATTGCAAGCACGTATCGATCGTCGCGTCTTGGTTTCTGAATGCTTTCTAGCTGGACTACATCAACTACCCTGCGCAAGAATTGACTCGCGATGAAGTGATGGAAAAACTGAAGAAAGGTCAACAGGATCGCAAGCGCAGTTAAAGAGCACCATTGCGACACTGTATAACGTGAATGTACCGATCTAACGCCCATGGGAAGCGTGCTCGCATCAACAAGCAACCCCCATTTGACGATTTCATCGAGCAGTCCCGGTGCACGCCTTCAGCCACTCGACCATGGCATCTAACAGTGTCCCAGTTGACGTCTGTGGCGTCGAATGAAAGACACACACCGGTTCCTAGCGCTACATGAGTTGCCGGAGCGCATGTGCGTCGTCCATAGGTGCCTTCCCCTGCACACCTGTTTAGCTGCGATGTCCTCGATCATGCTTGGTTTGCACACAACAGCGCACTTAAGAGAGTCCGAAAATTTGAAATACGATCCGAAGCGTCACGGAGATGGGGACGGATCTGCCGCTCCACGTGGACGGCGACGAGCTTCTGGATGCAGGGTCCCCCACAGGAACTCTACGATGGACACCTCTTCAGTACGCTTCTGCAGCTGGGGACATGGCAATGGCGACGGCCTTGCTCCAGAGAGACAATACCATTGTCCACCAAGTTGGTCAAGTACGTCATGCACTCACATGCCTGACCTAACGTGAGTTTGTCCGGTGCACAGACACAGACAAAGTACACATCCCTCCATATCGCTGTTCAAGGTGGACACAAGGACCTGGTGAAGCTGCTTCTCGACAACGGAGCCATCGTCGACGCCGCAGACACCGTGTGCGAGTCCTGACCTTTCGACTTTTCTGCTCACTCTGGTTATGGTTGGCAGCGTGGCTTCACCCCTCTCCACATCGCTGCCACGATGGGCCTCCAAGATATGGTAGCACTCTTGCTCGAGCGAAATGCCGCACAACTGCCGTCCAAGGTATGTGCAGTCCTCTACCACCAAGGCGGTGGAGGCTTGGCTCGACCACGTGCCCCTCCCGATCGACTTGACTAGGCGGGTACACTCCCCATCGAATGCGCCTACGCAAGAGGGTTCCACGAGATTGTGGCGCTGCTTGGTCCATCGACGCCGTCATCGACTCCACGTACTGTTTCGCCACCATCGATGCATCATTCCATGTCGTTTCCTGCGACGTGTAGCGGCGGACACGGGAGTCCGCGCGTGGCTTTCGTTCATTGGGTTGGGCCAATACGCCCATGCATTTGAACAGGGAGGATTCGACGATCTCCACTTTATCCACCAGATCGGGCTGACGACGGAAGATGTCGTGGGTTTGGGAGTTGTCAAGCGCGGCCACCAGCTCAAGCTCAAACGGTTGTATCAAATCGAACGGTTCATCGCACACGACGACTCGGATACCCACAGCAGCCCCAGCGACGAAAGCAGCGACGACAGCAGCGACGACGAGGACGGACCGGCGTAGCGTGCCAGCGCCTCCAGCGTTGCGAACAGAGCTGGGAACGATGGTGGCCATGGTGGCCGCGATTTCTTGACCATCACATCGAAATGTTGTTTCGCATTGACGCTGACATGACCGGCCGCTGGACCTCGTTCTTGTTCCATGACGAAAACAGCTTGTCTGCCCGAGTAAAGGCAACGCGTGTCATGGTGGTAGGGTGTGGTGGAGTGTGACATGGGGCTTCTACTGTGGATCGCCCAACGGGCCCATGGACTTCCTGGACGCGACTGGGGGCTTCATGATAGCTTGCTGTGGACGCTGGTGCAAGCTGTTTGCAGGATTCAAGCATGTGTGCCATGACATGCACACTGCGGACGTCGATGCTACGAACGCATCACTTCGAACATGGACACTCCACGAGTTTGACGCAGCGCGAATCCTGGAACAATCAGGCGCAGCTAGCGTAGTTTACGTGAGGCCTGGGCGTGACGACGAAACATAGTCGGTGGGAGTGAATTTGTCTATATCTATTACTGTGTGGAAAAGGCGGAAGCAGCTAGAAACTGGGCGGCGCCAACTGCTGTTCGCTTGTGTCGATCCCATGTTCGTCCGTGAATTCCTGCGGCGGTGGGGTAACCATTTTGCCCAACAGAATGCCCAGCCCTTCAATGAGAGCCAACAACGTGCCACCGATGACAGCTTGGGTGAGCGCGGCCCGCGGCCCCGAGCGCATGGCAAGGGTCCCACCCGTGGCAGCTCCGGCCAAGATCGAGTTCCACGGATCTTCCTTCTGACGCACCGCCGCCAACGAGCAATCGTACGACGAAAACAAACACCCCCAGATCGCAAATTGACCTGCGAGCATGGGACTGCGCGCCTTGACAGCAAACACGGCACCGCGAATACGTTCACCGGGAGGCGAGTTGCGGGCACCCTTGATCGAGTGAAAGATGCCGCCACCGACAGCACCCATGCCAAAGGCACTCCCCATGTCTTCCAGGATACGCCACGGACACGGTTCGCGTTCCATGGCCTTCGACGTCAATTCCGGTATTTGCTCGGTCCATCTTCGACCAACAACTCCCGCAACGGTGATTGGTCCAAATCCTCGACACGGGATTGGCCAACACATCTCACAAAATGCAGGTGGAAACTGGTCGTCAATTGGGAATTCCGCTGCTTATGCGGAATTCTTCGTCGTCCGGATACGACCCGAAACGGTGCTCGCCGAAATCTTTGTAACTCCCACATCATGTATAATTAGCTTCGAGTGTCAAATCCACCAACGCCACGAGAACCGACTCCGCGGCTCCACGTCCAAGCGAGGCGCGCGAAGCACACACACCACTTGGATGGCGGAGATCGCGTACTATGACGGGGATCTGTCGGATGCCCTGACAAAGCTCAACCAGATCATGGCCAAGCTCGCCAAGGCTCCCCCTGGCATCAAGTCCGAGGTACGATCGAACGCGAGGTTAACAACACAACGACATGAACTCATGCATCATTTGGCGCTTCTAGGTGCTTGTCGAAGCGGAAAAGAAGCTCAAGGAGGTCATCGACCTGAAGAAAGGGTTTTCGCTGGCACTGCGACAAGTTACAGACCGCGAAGAGATCAAGTCGTATCGAGAGGTAAAGCTGCACCTTCATCAAGGACGTCTAGCCCGTGGAGTTGATAAAACACACTAGAAAAACGACGTCTATGCCGCGCGTGTCGAAGAACTGACGCGCGAAGTGAAGTGGGCAAAGTCCGAAACCGACAGGAATGGGCTGTTTGGCGACGCCAAGGCGAAAGCGTCCAAAGTGCCCACGGGCAACACAGACCTGCTAAACAAGGCGCAGGAACTCCAAGGAAAAACCGAGGTCTCGTTGAAGAACACGCAGAAAATGATTGAAAACTCGAAAGAAGTCGCACTTGCGACGGGCGAAACCTTGCGGGAACAGCGAAACCAACTCAACGCGATCACGGAGGAAGTGATGCGCATGGACGACGGCGTGGCCCGCGCCAACAAGGTAGGCGCTGCCCTTTTCCACAACTTCGACGATTCATACCTTACAACTTTACCCTCGGCTAGCTCATGCGGACGTTCACACGGAGAATGGCAACGGACCGCCTCATTCTGTTCTTTACATTTCTCGTGTTTGCTGGCATCGTCGGCATCATCGTGTACTCCAAGGCCAATCCAGACCAAAACACGTTCTACGTGCCAGACCAAGTCAAACCCCCGGATCCGGGTACGTGCGGACGACACGTCGTCATCGTCACGAGTGGGCGACGTAGGGGTGATTACCAACGCGACCGGGATCAACTCTTTTATCAACAATACCCAGAACAGCATTACGGGCAAGTAATGCGTAGCACTGGAGCTGTATGGCGCCGTTCGAGGTTGCTTCGACCGTTTTGTTCTTATCAATCTATTCCACTCTGACGAGAGATGGCGATGGATCGATGGTGGCCACCTGCATCGGGCATGCCCTCTGTGAGTTATCACGACTGTCTTGTACACAACATTGCGCTTGCAAAGTGGGTTGCATGATGTTTCGGACAAGCCGCTTCCTGCGATGGATTGGACTGGGAAAGGAAGCGCCTGGATTCACGCGGAGGTGTCCATGTGGAAGAGGCAGTGGTCGTACGGGTTACGAGAGGGCTGGAAGCAACACGGGTTCTACCTCGTCATCTTAATGCTTCTACCGTCCCCAGCACCGTTCCAGTGGCGCTGGCATGCCGGCAATGTGCCATCAGCGAGCTGCAGAAGGTCTTGCAATTTTCGCGACGTTTCGATCTTGACATCACTCGATGTGGTTAAAACGTATCAGTTAAAGTTGTACTGGTGAGTCCAAGTCCATTTAACGTGGAAATTGTAACGCATTTTGCTTACAGTGTGAACAGAATTTACCCATTTAGCTCACCACGTCAAAACAATTGCGCTTAGGTAAAACAAACGAACCAATCACAATGTCAAGATTGGTGATAACATTTGGGTGGCCACCACGACAGGTGCCGTCGCCAAGGTGGTGGGGAAGTCGCCATTCCGAGATATGCGCCGCGGCGGTCGGTCCGAACAGCGTGGAAGTTGAGCAGGAGGCGCACCATTTTACCAACTGACCCCCTCTGCGTGGGGTGAACAGTTAAAGTTGGTGCGAATAGCAACACCCTCGTGTTTTAATGTGTCATTTGCCTGACGGGGACTTGTCCCAAACATGCTGGCCGGTGTTGGAGTGGCGCCGAAGTAGACTCATCCTCTACAATAGGCACGCGCCGGCGACGGCCAGTGGGTGATGGCTGCCGAGGCAGTGCCGATCTTTATGTTTGGCGTTGCATCGGAAAAGGCGGGAGGGGATATCTTTTTCTTGCGAGCAAAGCGATCGTGGTGGACGAATGGCACTTTATAACTTTTCACATGGCCCTTTGGTTGCCGTTGTGTTATACGCAGTGCCGAGATCAATTGCCGCGCCTCGTCACTGCGACTCCGTGGTCGTTTGGGTAGCCACTGGTGGTGTACGAACCGGCCACATCGTCACATCGCGTCCATGCGGGTTGGCATCATGAAAACAGACCACTGGGACGAGCACAAATCAGTTGTCCAGCCCACATTCCCTGCGTCCTTTTAAACAACCTGACGGGAGATTGAAGCAAAGGTCCGATGGATGTTATCCTTTGTCACGTGTCGACGCTGGCACATGCGCCTGCGATCTTCACTCTACTAGTGGCCCTGGATCGAGGGCGATCTAGACGACCCAGTTTGTGACTTCCTGGGGCACCTTTTCTTGGCCATTGTCGTCGAGTTGGGCGACGCGGGCATCCAAGTCGTGGCTAAGATGCCACCAACTGGCATCCGACTCGGTATGTGTGAGCAAGCGTTGAAATCGAGCAAACGCGAGCGAATCCTGCACCGAGAAGAGAGGCTCGAGTCTCGCCGGGTTGACGCCGCGTGCACCGTCTTGCAGCTCCAAGATATCTTCCACGAGCACTTGCACCTACACGCCGTGGTCACGAATTCCCACTTTCTTCTCCAGCGACGGCAGTACCTCATGGCGCTCCAACTCGGCCCCTCGATTTGGATTGTACATGTCCCAGAGGCTCTACATTGACGATCTCAACCAACTCGGTCCCACGACTAGCACACACACACACACACACACACGGCACCTTGACATCGAGGTAATTCAACTGCTTCTTGGGCTGGAGCGTGCGTAGGAAAGCGAGGCGGTGGGTTGTCGACGGAAGGTCCATCGCGGCGCTCAGCGTGCCGTAGCTCTCCGATTGCATCTATAGACACGACGGAGGGGAATCGAGTCAACGACGAAAGGGCGGCGCAAAGCCCGTACTTCCAGGAGCCGCGACACAGTGCGATCAAACGCAAACGCTTCGTCGATCACGTTCTTGGTCGATTCGTCCGGGACGACGAGATCGTTCGGGGCCGCGTCGGCGAGGCAGTACAGCTGCACCTTTTTGTCGTACATGCAGTCGACAAACGTGATAAAGCGGCGCGTCTGGTTGACGTACTGGACGTGCATGCGAGGAATGTCTTGGAGGAACACGGTGTGGAAGGCCTGGCACCCATGACGTTGAACACGAACGCAATTGCAACGGCATACCTCTGCAATCGCGAGGTAATCCGCGGCCCCCAGCGGTTTATCACACACGTCTGTGAACGAGAGCAAGCACACGTTGTGCTTGGGTGCAGCGTGGGGGACATCGACGACACGTCCTTGGGTGCGGAGCTTCATGCTGCGGATGGTTTCGTTCTAGGCCACCGCCGTCGCATGAGGACGATGTCAAAGCGCCACCAACGGCGTGGGACGCATCTTACGTTGGCCAGTGTCTTGAATGACTCGTAAAACAGTCGGTGATTCGCGTCGTTGAGAGGATGCCGGTACATCTCGTGGAGTTGAGCCTGGCCCTTGAGTTTGCGATAGTCCGTCGACGATGCTTCGAGGGAGTGCACGATGCAGGATGTTTGGAGAAGGTCGATAAAGGGCACGAACAAATCGCGCTGGATGCCGTTGTTGTACAGGTCCTAACAAGCACCGGTGAAAAAACGTGCGGTGAACACTCAGCACGGGCGAAGAAAGCCGACCAGGCGGGAAATTTCAAAACAAGAACGGCAGTGCAAGCAAGTGTGCTGCACCACCGCCAAGACCAACGACGCCAACGTGACATGGACTTGTCGGTGTAGAGCACAGCAGCCAGCGTACCGTGGGAGGTCGGTTCGACGTGGCGACGACGATGCTCCCCGCGTCGATCATGGCCGAGAAGAGGCGCCGCAAGATGAGCGCGTCCGCGACATCGGTAACTTGGAACTCGTCAAAGCAAAGCACACGCGATGTTTGCATGAGCTCGGCCGTGAGATGCGGAATCGGGTCGCCGACATGCCCCTCCTTGCGCAGTTGGTGCATGTTCGCGTGCACTTCCAACATGAACTTGTGGAAATGGACTCGGCGCTTGCTTTGCAGCGGTAAGTTGTCGAAGAACATGTCCATGAGAAAGGTCTAGCGGGACATTGCGATTTGAATTCCCGAGAACGTACTGGATGGGCACAAGTGTGTGCATGAACATGATGTACCTTGCCACAACCGACGCCTCCATACAAATACACTCCTTTCGGCACGTTGCCACGTTGTGGATTCGACGCCGCGCTGCTCGACGGCGCTACGGTGCTTCGAAATCGATCCCACAGAGAAGGAGAACGGTCTGCGGGAGCAACGACTGAAGGCGGTGGTGGAAGTGGTGTCGCCACCAGTTGATCTTGCAGAGCTTGCAAATGACGCAGAGCATGCAGTTGCACAGGATCTTCTACAATCTCTTTGGATGCGACGGCATCTTGATAGATATCCAAGAGCGAGCGTGTTGACATGGATCGGATCGTGGCCAAGACGCCGCCACGCCGCCGGAGGAGCATCATCTTGGCACGACGATGTCACCAATTAAATCCGCGGCCTCTTGTGTTGTCGCGCAACCTGGTCGTTTTTCTTCCATTTTAGCCAATCCATTCCAATTTCAAGCTGAATTTTAACCAATCCATACCGTTGAATTGAATTTTCTACATGATTTTGGGGTATTTTCATTCGAACCAATGACCTATTTTTTGTGTTTCCATACACCAATCATATCCTTCTTCAAGAAATTCATCAGCCAATCCAAAATTACAAAGTGCATGCTCGTGAAATACACGTCGAAACTGAAACCGTAAATTCGCGCGGTACGTGGCAGCGTGCGCGATCTCATGGCGCGCGCTGCCCCCGAACGCAGAGAGGGGGGGAAGCGCTGCCGAGCGCTGCGTGCATCCGCGATACCAGTGTCTTTGGCCGACGTGTGTTCTTTGCGCATGATTCTCGTCGACGTCGCGATGGCCTAAAAATACCCCATCTATCTTTGCAAGATGCCGACGTCGTGTGTGATTTGACAGTGTCGGGTGGGATGTGCAAAATGACGCCCTTTCCTCGCGCTGGTGGGAGACGTGGCCCATTTTTGCATTGGACGAACGATGCGGTGTCGCTGGCGTGTCGTCGGCCTCGTGTGCCTCCTCGTCTGGCCATCGACAGCGTTGGGTACAGGTAATTGAACTCCCCCCCCGGGCGTCCTCGACGTGCCAACACTCTACGAGTAGTGCACCAACACGCAATCGAGTCGACCACTGAACCAACGTCACCGCTGTATCGACCCCCCACCGCCGATTCCCCCGCGACGATGTCGTCCCCGGCGCCGACAACTCGAGCACCCACCATGAAAAAGTGCAGCCCCAAGCCAACCGCGAAAAAGTCGTGCGCCCCAAAGACGACCATGTCGTCCCCTCCTCCTAAAAAGTCCTGTGCCCCCAAAACAACGCCCCCCCTTCCCCCAAAGAAATCGTGCGCCCCGAAGCCGTCGCCACCAACCCCCACGAAATCATGCGCTCCGAAACCCACTCCAACTTCGATGGCCCCCGACACGCAGGTCGAGACCCCCAACGACGCCCCGTCCAAGCCGACCCCACAGGCACCTCGATGCATGGGATTCTGGGGAGCCTGCCATGCCACTCTCGGTCCATCGTGCACGCAAGGATCGACCTGCGTCAATGGAACGTGCCGCCCCGTTCGCGTGGGTTTCGAACAGTGCGGCGGCAAAGACTGGCTCGCGTCGTCCGTGTGCGGCACCGACCTGGGCTGGACATGTGTGCGGCAAGCGCCGTTCTTTGCGCAGTGCTTGCCCGTGGCAACCCTGCAGTGCTCCAACTCGTCGTAGCATCTCCCGTCCAAGCGCCACAGCTCGCTCACAGACAACCGCATTTTGTTTTGTGCGTGCAGGATAGCGTCGCTCGTTTGAGAATCCACGACTTCCATGTCACGGCGCTTGGCGGCGGCCTTGGCACGATCGATAGACCACACACAATGCCATGGCGCCGCGTACAAAGTGGACAAACGGCACATGCACCACTGGAACGTGGCGTCGTAGGTCGATATATCGCACCAACAGTCAACGACGAAGATGGCCAAAGGCAGAGCCAGATCCGAGAGCCATGCGCTTGTTGTGACCGAAAACACAATGCCATCGCGACGACTCGTCGTCCACCAGACGGGACGGTAGACGTGGATTGCCACGGTCTAGATGGAGGATGCACGCCGCGGTGGGCATGCGAGGTCGACGTGCAGCAACCAAAACGCGACGGCAACTTGGTTACGTCTATCGCGTCGGTGCGTCCCCAACTAGACCAGGCGTTCAAACTGGATGCCTTGAACGTACTGGCCACGCAAACTACGACCGACGACGTCCTGGAATCGACGGGGGTCGCTTCGAAACATCTCGGCCGCTTCGCGGTTGAGCGGGTCGTCCGGGTTGGGCTCGTAGAAGAGGTAGATGAGGCCGTAGATGACAGCATTGATGTCGAGCACGGGTTTCCAGTCTTCGCGAAGAATATTCAAACACACGTTGCCGTCGAGATCGATATTGGGGTGGTAGATCTTGGTCATGCAACGCACTTTGGGCGGCTCATGTGGGTAGAACTGGAGGGAAGGCGCCGTGAAGAACGCCACACGTTCAAGGCGGACGTACCGATGGAATTTTGAACGTAAAGGTGTAGGCAGCTCCAGTCCACAACCCCGTGTCGACAGTAATCCGAACGTGGAAGTTTGTCAGGTCGTTCGAGTCGGGAAAACTCACGACAGCAGCCGACCCTCCGTCGAGTTCGGCAATGTCTACGTCCCCATTCACGTCCCACGAACGAGGTGTGGCGCACGTGTACCTTTTTGAATGCGGATTTCGCCGGGGGTGCGCTTCTTTTCCTTGGACTTGCGTGTGCCACGACCAAGACCCATGATCTTGATTCCCCCCGGCGCAGGAGGTGCGGCGGCCGATGCACGAGTATTGGCATCATCGTTTAATGCAGGCACACTGTCCTCAGTAGCAGGTGGGGCTGGGGCAGCGGCCGCCGCCGCCGCCGCTGCTTCCCTTTCGGCTTGCTCCTTCTTCTTCTTCAGCATGATCATGGCGCTCGACTTGTCCTGTGCGTGCTCGGCGCGCGGCACTTGGGGTTTGCTCTGTTGTTGGAGTTTTGCAATGGCAGGAAAAAGACCTCCCAAATTTTATGTTTGGAAATCGGACGAACATGCGACAGGACGACGCTACGATGAACGAGCGCGTCCCGCCGCTCAATCTCGGGGATTTGACTCACAACGACTTTAACGCGAGCAGCCAGCACCCCACATACCACTGCCAAGATCATGAGGATGTGGCGTTCTTAAAGCTGCAAGGTCCAAAGCGCCGTCGTTGCAGGGCCATCGGCGTTGGTTCCCCCTGGCGGATACAACCTGAAGTCGATATCATGGACAGCCAGAACGATGCCACGATGGGAATTCCTTGTATGAACAAGGAAAACATCGTTCGTGCTCGCGTCGACGGCCCTGTAGCGCGTTTGCGAACGTAGCTATAGCAACTACAGCCTCAGCGACGGTGCTTCGACAAGCATGCAGGTGGAGCATGCACTCATGGAGGTAGTATGCCCATCTCGACTGACGATTCGATGTACATGGGCTGTTGCGCAGCCCGGGGACGCCAACCTTTGCATGTAGCAGGTCGAGTGGCAACACAATTGTCAAGAGCCTGCCGATATTGGGAGAAAAAACCTTTACGAAATTATATATTGGGACAATACGTATACAGTATGCATTTTCAAAGGCGGAGGCGCCACCCCAAGTCACTTTCCAAGAAGATACGACGCGGAACCACGATGAGCACGTTGACAAGCGCCGACATGGGAGAGCTGAAGCGGCCGTCGACCCGCCTGCATGCGCCCCCTGGCGGTGGCACGAGCTGGAGTTTTGGCGACGACTCGTCAACAGCGGATGCACCTAAAGCCAAGGCCAAAGGCCGAGGCGGCAACAGCGGATCGAACGTCACGAGTGACGCATCTCCGTTTTCGCACTTCCCGCCCCCAGCCCCGACGTCTGCCTCATCCGCCACGTCAAATGGCGCTTCTGTCCCTGCGGCTCCGGCCGGCACCGTGGCAAAATCGTCGTCAAACCGCCGTGCCCATTCCACGGCCCGCATCGCCGTGCTCAAGACCAAGACCGATGAGCATGTCGTGGATGATTTTGCAGTCAACTTCACGCATGCGTTGGCACCCAGCGTTTCGTACGAAATGGTCACGGTTCCATCCCTTGAAGATCTGCCGTATGCGGCCAACAAGTTGGCGGTCCATGGCGGGTTTGACGGCGTCGTCGTGTTTGGGCTTCTCAACACGTCGGACGCGTTGTTTTCCGTCTATTCCACCAGCATCCTGTCCGCGCTCATTCAAATCAGCATTGCCGCCGTCAAACCAATTGTCCGCGCCATCTTTGTCGGCGAACCGCGCGTAGCGTCGGTAAAGGCAAAGGGCGGGTACGGCGCCGAATTCGCCGCGACGATTGAAGACCTCGTCCAACTCGGCGGGTTCATCCATCGTCCAACGTCCACTGCGTCGGTGTCTTCCTCGTTGGCCGCTCCGCGCGCGTCCGCCCACCACGCAACTGCCGCAGATGTCCATGCCGACAACAACGTTTTCCCCGATGCTATCAAGTCTGCGCCACGATCGGTGCAAGACACACTGGCAGCACTACGAGCGTCGTTGTACGAACATGGAGCTCGGTACGTCCTTCCTTCTTCTTTGCAACTAGCTTGTTCATCTTGGATGCATTGGCTTGGCTGAAATGCTGGGGTGACTACGTCGTCGGGTTGTGTTGAAATGCTTCCATGGAAGTTCGTTGTGCCGACAAAATTGGCGGCATCGTGGGGTGCCAGCGCAAGCGGCCAAGCCGTGCGTCGTCGGTGGCGTGTATTTGTGGCATGGCTCGACGTGTGGCTTACGTCGCGCGCTGTGTAGCGGCATCGTCGGTCTCGGGCGCAAGTTCCGCATCATGGACGACGACAACAGTCGCACGCTCGACCTGGGCGAATTCACAAAGGCCATTCGGGAGCATGCGTTGAACCTGTCCAAGGCCGAAGTCGCGGACCTGTTTGCATTCTTTGACGACGACCGCAGCGGCCAGATCAGCTACGATGAATTCCTTGTGGGCATCCGCGGTGAATTAAACGACCGGCGCCAGCAGCTCGTCCTCCTCGCGTTCGCGGTCGTGGATGCGGACGGCAACGGGATCCTCGAGCTCGACGACATCATTGCCAAGTACAATGCGGACAAACACCCGGACGTGATCAGCGGCAAGCGCACCAAGCACGACGTGTTTCGCGAGTTTCTCGACACATTTGACGGCGGCGAGAAGGACGGAAAGGTCCACCCGTCCGAGTTTCTCCGGTACTATGCAAACTTGAGCGCGAGCATCGACAACGATGACTACTTTGAGCTCATGATTCGCAACGCGTGGCACATTTCGGGCGGCGAAGGCTGGTCCGCCAACTCGACGTGCCGCCGCGTTCTCGTCACGCTTGACGATGGCACGCAGCGTGTGGAAGAAGTCAAGAACGACATTGGCATCCACACCAAGGAAGCGATCGCTGCTGCGCTCAAGGCGCAGGGCACGGATGCGGCGACCATCGCGACGTCGGGCTACGTCGAGAACGTGACCAAGGCGCCGAAACCTGGCAAAAAACTGCAGCATGGCGCAGGCGACAGCTCGATTGTGTTTGGATAGAACCGATAACCAACCATCCCGCGATGGGGCATTTGAACGCCTGCGGGTTGGAATAACGTTGGTGGATGATGAAAAGCATGGAGGACTCGTCAACTCGTAGAGCAACGGCGCACGGTGGCGCGATTGGCACCATGTCTGCGTGTCAATGGGGCATCTCTCGACGGGATGCCGACGGCACAGAGAAAGCAGTCGGTAGGGTCAGCGAATGATCACGGCACGCGGGACGGAATATGCCACAGCGTCATGGCGCCGACTCCGACGCAAGCGTCATGCCGGGCCGAGACAACGTTCCAAAGATAGCAACGCGCTGTGCCCGATCAAGATGGCGGTGTGCGACCTATTTTCGGCCACATGGGCACACATGGCAGTGTTCGATGACGCCTGCCAAGGAAGTTCTCGACGCCCTGGATTGCATCCCGAACGACCACGTGCCTCCAACGCGTGCCCCGATGGCATCCACGGCCGCTTCTGGCGCGTCCAACGACAAACCATCGGACAGCGACAAAACGCCCGAGAAAGAAGAGAAGAAGCGCAGGATTCCGCCGATTGTGTTTGTGCCGCTGCTTGGCGCATTTCTCGTCATCACGATTGTCCCGTCCGTCGTGAGCAACGTGATCAACAAGACCCCGGCGCCGACTCCCGCCCCGGCCTCGAATGGCGGAACCACGACCGGGTTTGGCGAAGGCATGGCGACCCCAACGCCAGCGCCCAACTCGGTCCCCGCCACCACCACGACCCGCACGCCCATGACAACGTCCCCCACGCCGTCCGGGCCGCCCGAATTTTCGATCTCGACCGTGTTGCAATCTCGCGTGTGGGATATTGGGTATCACGCGCCATCGCGAACATTCCTCGGCATCAACGACTCGTTGGTGTGGGCGCTGCCGACAATAGCGACCACGGCCGCCGCCGCGTTCTTTGGCGGTGCTGGCGGTGGCCGTCGGCTGGACGCGGACGCGGCAGGGAATCTGTATGTCCTGAACGTCGGGGCCCGTGGCCGCGTGAACCACTACAGCGCTGCGTCCAACTACGCGACGGCCACTCAGTTGGCGACGGCGCTGTCGAATGTGGACCTGACAAGTGTCCTTGCGATGCCTTCAAGCACGGGGATGGATGTCGCCGCAGCGACACAACCCGGCGCAGTGCTTGGATGGAACACGTCGGCGCTGACGACGGCCGGCGTCGAGATCGTTGCCGCAAACGTCACCGACCCGTTTCTTGCCAACGACATGGTGTATCGAAATGGCGTCATCTACATGGCGGACGGCCCGTCGTCGTGCATCCGCCGCTTGACGCTGTCCACTGGCGTGACTGAAGTCGTCGCGGGCCAGTGCTTTTACAGCGGGCACGCGGACGGCGACGCGACCACGTCGACCTGGAACAGTCCATTCGGCATCGCCATGGACTACTACGGCGACTTGTACATCAGCGACACAATGAACCACGTCATTCGCAAGATCGACATGGCAACCAAGATCGTCACGACGATTGCCGGCAAGGTGCGGGCGCCGGGGCTTGTCAACAGCGCCACGAATGCGTCGTTGGGCCAGCTGAACGCGCCGCAAGGCCTGGCAATCGATCCGACCCTGCAGTGGAAGGCGACTGCTGGATCGTTTGCTCTGTATGTAGCCGACACGGGCAACAATTGCGTTCGCAAGATTACATGGGGCTAAGCCACATGACTGGCACGACTAAATAAGCACTCGAATTGCGCGCCATGCGCACGTTCATGGGGTCGTTTTCGTTGGTATGCGTGCCTAGCCCAACGACATGGGACGGCCACCACGACGGGAGGCCTCTGCGGCACGGTGCTGGTATGGCAAAAGTCGCACGGAATAATCGTCGCACGTCGCCGTCCGTGGTAGTAGCAGTTTAAATGCAAAGTGCGGAACGATGCTGCGTGAGACAACGAACATGTTCGACGTGTGAGCGAATCCCAACCTCCCCATCGAACTCACGCTGACGTCCACCGCAACAACTTCTGCAAGGACGTAGCCGAGTGCCCCGATTCGTTCGGCGATGACATGAAACGGGGCGGGTGAGCATTGCCGCCAAACAACAGGACTCGGCCATACCATTCAAATCGTCTCGTCATCTGGTATTCCACCACGCGGCGACAAATCAAGCTGGTAGTGCAAGGAAGAGGCGCTTCAAACACACGACTCGCATCTGCCAACTCCCTGTCAAGCGGACGAAACAAATGCCCCAGGCCACGCGCTAGCCACTGGAGCCGCGGCCCGTCAAATGGGCATCCCAGCTGCCCAGTGCCGCAACCACTGAGGCGCGCTGCACGCACGTACCCATTTTCGCCGAGGAACGACGTTGCTCGCGAATTCGACGTGCGATCGAGTTGTGGCCGCGGCGGCGGCGGCGCTGTAACCGCTCGTCGTTTTGAAAACGTTTCATAGAAACCGTCAGAGCCGTTGCAATATTGTACCGCGACAGTGCTGTATTCCCGTGTGCGCATCGCCGACATGGACCACGATCCCGGTAAGTACATGTCGCCGTCATGCGATGGCGGTGACGATGTGTCCACAGACAACCAAGATATCGGCAGCAACGAGGGGGCCGCCATGGAATGCGGTGACGACGACGACAACCTCCGTGCATTTGAATCGAGGGAAGTGCTGGCCAAAGACGACGAAGGAGATGACAGCGGCCACGACTCGAACGATGGCGAACCAGACGACCTCGACGTCGACGAATTGGAGCGGTAATGTGGCTTTGTATATGTGGCCGATGCCACTCGAGCAGCCCTGCGTGCATCATGCGCCAAGAATTTTGTCCCGACGATGCACAACTACATGGATGGAGAGGTCGCTGCGCCGATTGTGCCAGTAGATGTGATGTTTTGAGCTGCACGTGCATCGGTTCCACAGCCCATGCGGGTTATGTTGGGCCGACGTTCAATGTGAAAATGTTCTTTTGTAGAAGTTGCTCTGCGAATCCCGTTGTGCAGTCGCTGTCTTGTGGCTGTGCCTGACGTTGTCTGCCGTGCGCATGTGTAGGTCGTTGACGCCGCTGCATGTGTCGGGAGACTCGCAGCGCATGTCTCGGAGTGAATCGGCCGAGATCTTTTCGAAAAAGTACGTCGAGCGCCACCAGGTCAAGGCCGAGATGCTCCACGACGAAAGGACCAAGCGGCTTCAAAAGGAACGGCGCCGCCAGCTCCATATTCAAAAGTGGCAGTCCAAGACAACAAAGTCCCCATTTAAAGTCAACCTGGTCGCCGACAACGAACGCCTGGACGAGGTACCGAAATCGATGCAATTCTGTGCTCGCCTCCTACTGCAAACGTCCTGCCGTCTGTGCTGCGATATGGCGCGTCGCTGCTCGCCCAGCTACCCCGTCGCAGCTACAGTCTAGACTACATGGCCTCGTGTAGGAAAACCGCGTGCGCGCCACGGAAGAAGCACGCCGCCTCCGAGAACTCGAGCGCAAGACGAGGCAAGTCAAGAACGACATCATATTGAAAGCGCTCCAGGAAACGTCTGATCTGGAAGCGCTGCGCCGCGAGAAGCGCGTGATAATTGAGGAAGAGAAACGGTTGAAGGCGCTTCTCGACCTGGAGAAGACAAACTCGCACCGCAAGATGGACATGCTCGCGGCTCAAAACGCCGAGAAGCGGCGTAAGCAAGAAAAGATCGAGTATCGCATGAAGCAGCGCAAAGAACAACTGAGCGAACGCGACGAGCGGTACAAGGCGTTGCTCAAAAACAAACTGGCGCTGTAGGGATCGCTTCTGTTTCACGTGTCTCCGAATGCGTCGGGAACACCATGGGACGGGTGTTGAAAGAGGGGATAGATTTCGCCGATGTGCATTCATGTCGTTCATAAAGTTCGCTTCTATGGACGCCCGGGTCGGCCCGAGTCGCTGTCGGCGTCAGAGTCCACGGATTGCTTGACAACATACGTGTGCTCGGTGTCAAACGCCACGATGAATTGGTAGCCAGGGAACGAGATCGTCAATCGCTCGAGTGCTTCGTCGTCGTTGACATTGTCTTCATCGTCGTTACGTCGGCGTCCTTTGAGAAACCGCAGGTCACCACAATCCAAGAGTAAATTTTGCACCACCATCGGGATGCTGTCGTCGCCGGCGAGTTCGCCAGACGAGCTCACAACTTTGCCAGTTGTGTCCAGGACAATCGTACCCACCTGGTGAGGTAAGTTCAATACTGCTTCCTATGCCATATTCACTACATCATCCATCCACGCCGACTCATGGAGGGTACACTCACCATGCTGCTTTGCCTCCTCTCTCGTCTCCCTGCCGGAGAGAACGAACGAAATAATCCGGATAAAGTGATGTATCCGTACAAGTGTAAATTTGCGAATTGCAGAAACACAAAAAATCGGCCAGATATGAAAAAAATATATATTTGCTGGGGGCGCGGAGAGCATGTTGAACTTCAACATGGGATGAAATAAATATTGCGAGAAGGGGCTACAGGACGGTCGAGGAAGTTGACGGAGCCGCGGGTTTTGTGGGCGGCACTTCCACGGCAACTTCTGCTTCGTCGGCGATGGAGGACACAAACATGAAAGGAGTACGTGCCTGTGCATCACGATGCACGATGACTTCGACGTACGGAACCGTGACAAAATCACTTGTTGGCGTGTGTGGCGTGGATGGAAAGTCGGTCTCTGACAATTCGGTCGCGGCGACGGACGGACGCTCGGCGACCTCGAAGGTCCCATGACGTTCGACGGGTTCTACAGAGCCTTTTGTTTGGAAATATAGTCCCACGAGCGTGAAGAACACGATGATGCCGACGTGCATTCCATCGCTGGCGACGACAGCAATGTTGTCTTGACGGGACCAGTCTCGAATAGCATCGGCAAGGACAAGAGACCCCAGGAGAGACGTCGAGAAGATCAAACACACGCGGGAAGTGTGACGTTGGAATCCCCATATCCACACGGAAATAATGACGGAGATCAGCATCGACGCCACGTAAAACTCGGGCATGAAGTTGAAGACGATCTGAATCGTCCACGCCAGCGCGCCGATATGGAGAGCAAACTTGGCGATGAGGTACACCATTTCGTGGTACCGCAGCGGCACGTATGGGAGGACAATGAAGAACGCGACAAAGTACAGCAGCGCAATGTAGAACGTTGCCATGCGCTCGACTCCGTACGACCTGGCCACCGCGAGGAAACCCATGATCGAGAACACCACCATCACGAACTGGATCACGTTGTACCCGTACGAGACGGTGACGAGGCCAAAGAGGATCGTGAGCACGAGCTCCGCCGTTTCCACTTTCTCCATGAGCATGTCGCGGCAAGTTGCTGTGTGAGGAAAAGGGAGTTTTTGACACTGGCGCTCCACTTGGGTGATGTGCTGGGGGCATAGGTGTTCAACGTGAATCCAATGGGCAATTGCACCAATAATAAGGCCAAGTGGGCTTTTTGGACCCCTTCTCCTCTCTAAAATTGGGAAATTTTCCCAGTGTAAAAGATGAGATATTAGGAGTTTCCCTGAATTCCAAGGATAGGTTGGTCGTGCCTGGAACGGGGTGATCGTCCGCCAGGAACGGACAGATTCATCCCTAGCAAGATGCATCATCAACCTTGGAATGGCGATGTGCACAACGCCGCACTCGTTTTCTTGACCAAGGCAGCAACGCGGCCCCTGTGTTGAATACCTTGTCCAACTTGAATCTCCTTTCTCTAACCTAACAACAAAAGGTGCTGGTTCGGTCAGGTGCCTGCGACATTTTATTGGGCCTTTTTCATTGATGCTCCAACGATTTATGTGATTGGTCCAAATTATATCTATTGCCCACTCAGATAATTTTCTTGCCAATCGAGAAATCGAAACAAACTGAGCGTTCAAAAAATCCAAATCGAACACACGACCAGAGAAGGAGAGCGGCCACACACAGTACAGACGGCGTAGCACTCCTGGAGCCATGAATGCCCTCCCCCCTCCATTGAGAGAGACATGGTGGATGGAGTCCGGACGAAAGAAATGGCGGTAGAAGTTCGCTACCACGACGTGCAATCGACGATTTTGCTGGTCTGCGTGTCATGCGGCCGCGGAACTTTGCGCCCCTCAACGCACAACGACGTGATGGACCCGACGGCAAGAGCCATTAGCCACGGCTCTTTGACCACGTTCGCGGCGCCCATGATGTGCTAGTCTGACGGAACGTAACGAAAATGATGACTACACGAACGTCGACGGTCGTTCCATAGATCATGGCGCGGACTGCTGATGAATCCATGGACGAACAAGGATACGCGGCAGGTCGCGCACATCCACACGTGGTAGATCTGCCCGATCGCGAGTGCAATGAACCACGACGACGCACCTTGGTGAAGGATATGGGTTGCTGTGTCGCATCGATGCCATCCTTCAAGTGCCAGAACGCGTTGCGGTTGCTGTGTCGCATCGATGCAACCCGTCGAGTACCAGAACGGCACCGCGCCAGTCTTCCAGTAGTCGTCGCCCGTCGTGTAGATCTCGCTCAGCGAAATCCCTCTTGCCCAAGTGACCGCGCTGGACGTGAAGATGCAGGCCTTCGTTTCCAGCGTTCGCACAGACCAAGTACGCCCAAGAGCGCCGGCGACATGAGCATGTCCTTCGTCAGGTGGGCGGACCGCACTGCATAGTGTCGTTCTCCTGTCCCTTGTACGCGATGGGGAAGAATGGGAGCGACGTGGCGCCGGAGGTAGCCGACTCATTCCTCATGGCCGACAATTTTTCGCCGATCGTGCATGGAGTCGAACAGGGGCGGCTCACCCTGGACAACCACAACCACATGCTGGCACGTTTGTCTATCCAAAATCTTCCCGGTCGCGCTCAACATGCGGCGGCACAGTCGACATCGCAAATGCGGAGCATCGGTATCGAGCTCGGTCCGGCCATCTCCGTCGCAACGATTCCAGGCAATCGTTTACGATCACGCGCAACACGACCGAATCGTACGCTTCCCGTCAATCCTTGATAAAAGCGTAGCGACGAGTTGTTGCAAATAGCCACCTGCCCCAACACGGCAATCGACGATGAATATTGCGAGCGACGCCTTGAAAGTCCTCGTGAGGAGTACGGGGCGGCGGGGCAATATGGCCTTGGAGCTGTGGGCAACCTCGTCCTTTCAGTATCGCTCGAACCTATACCCATCTGACTCAAACGTGGAGGTCGTCATCGCGGTACTGTTCTCGACCGTTCAAGTCTGGATTACCCCGGTCGATGTTTCATTACCCCCCACAAAACGTCGACATCTTGGCTTATGCACACAAACGAAGAAACGGCAGTCGACTCCGGAGGCGAGTGCCTTCTTGACGACGTTCTGGGGGGGGCAAGAGCACCCCCTTCTTCCCGGTCTCCCAACTAGGTCCACGGTAGCCGTGGGGACCTCGATTTCGTAAGTTCCTTCCGATGGCAGTACAAGTTTGTGTCGCGTGAGTTTGGGGCGCCCGCCAAAAGCAACCTTTTATCAATTCATGTTTTGATCGAATTACAATTTATAGGTGGCCACATTGATTGCAGATTAAACCACTTTGAATGAAATAGATTCCAGATGTACACTGTACATCGACGTTCGAAGAATTTAAAACGTCGAAATCACATTAGGGAGATTTCGCAAACGTGTCGTTGCCATTGCCATGCCGCAAAATGGCCGTCTGGCAACGGCAACGGCATTGACGATTCCACCATTTCGAAAATGGATGCCAGAGCCATATCTATATTTATAACGAACCATCCTGCTTGCACACATTGCATTTGACGATGAACTCAGAGGACATTGCATTTGCGTTGCAAATTTTCAAGTGGGCAGAGAGGAAGAAGCTCAAACCGCACATCACCACGATGCTCCTTGAGTACGCACTTGGGTTACCTGCCGAGCGACCACTCATTCCTGCTATACGTTTCGACATCAACATGCGTGACGCTGACGCAATTCTTTCGTTTCGTTTTAAAGTCGCTGGTGTTTTGCAATTGACTTCACTGCTTGGTGTCCCCAATGCCGTCATTAACTCGTGCCGTGACCGCGTCATTGGCGTCGAGGCTCTGGCCATTATGCTGAAACGCTTGCATTATCCCATTACGTACAACGATTTGTTGGCTACGTTTGGTCGCTCCAGGGAGCAAATCTGTCGCATTTTCAATCACATGATCAGTTGGTGTACAACAATTGGAAAGACCATATTTACTGCAACAAGCGAATCGTGCGCTAGCGCATTTTGGCATATGCTAAAGCAATTTTTGAGAAAGGTTCACCATTATCGAACGTGTGGGCCTTTCCCGATGGCACGAAATTGAAACCTGTCGAATCAGTGCCAAGGCCAATGGAGCTGGCGGACTCAATTTGCAAAAAAGGATCTACTCTGGGCACAAACGAATGCATTGTTTGAACTTTCAGGGCCACACAACCCCAGACGGCCTCTGTATTCCCTTCTTTGGTTCCTTAGAGGGAAGTCGCCATGATGTTACACTTCTTCGGGTCAGTCGACTTCAAGAATACTTTGAGGCATACGATGACATTTTCAATTGCTGTTTCATTTACGGCGACCCTGCATACCCAGTTTCGAAATGGATTGTGTCAGGATTCATAGGAAACAAGCTGGACGAGCAAAAAGAACTCTTCAACGCATCCATGAGTCGAGTACGACAAGGTGTTGAGTGGAACTTCGGACGAATGAAAACATTTTGGCCAAGACAATTTGATGTTCACGCTTGCTTGGCTTTCTCTCGTCGCGGTCCAACTCACGTTGATTCAACTCACAATTAAGCCTATGGCGCTGAAAGTCCAATTCTTTCTCCCGGGTCACAAACTCGCGCTCACTGTCACCAGCAATTGCAACAGCATCGTGTTGCGCCGATTTTCAACAGCAGGTCGCTTGATCGACTCCTCATTATCCGCATCGCATCGTCTTTTCATGGTTTTCATGGCCATCTTGCGCACAATTGAACCACCTTGTTCGATCTTGTCATTTTCTCCTTGTCCCTCGGAACGAATTGCTGGCAAACTTTCAAATCATCCAAGAGATTGATAATGTCGTCCAAGAGGATGTGCTTTTCACGCTCTTCCTCATCCACGCCAGGCAGTCGTGCAGACTCTGCATCGAACCTTTTGTGCTCCTCCAC